CAAAATGAATATCAAAATGGATTTTTGATATGCGACACAATTTTCAGTAAACGAATATGATTTTATCTACAGTTTATAAGATTTCTTGTTTACGATAAAGCTTTAAAGAGATAAAACAATGTAGACCAAAGTAATAATTATAAATTTTGTAACCCTCATTATGTTGCAAGTGTGTACCAGGAATTCCCCATCCGTAAAATCGATGTCAATACAGTACTGTTTACGTTATAATCTTAAAGGATCCCCGTACCCGTGTCAAAAACTACAACTTTGTGATGGATTGTTTTCCCGGCTCGACTATAGCTATGATAAATACTTTCTGAGACAAGAAACAATAATATTCAGCGAGGCTAAACTTGGGTTCGAACCATGGACCTCATTTTGTTATACTATCGCTCTAACAAATAGAGCTACCTAGTCAACGGACGTGGCCCAGCGCAACTGAACAGAAGTTAAAGGGTTGTTATCTTGTCTATAAAATACCACCGCGCAGTGGCACAGTCTTCCTTAAAGGATATGGTGCTAACAAAATGTTTATTATTCTGATAGCGTTAATTGCTTGTGACTGTTTTATGTTTATTCTGGGGAGCAGTTTGGCCCACCCTAATTCTTTAGGAAGAGAAAGGGGAGACTTTCATGAGCTTTGCACCAATTTTCTTAATGGAGAAAATATATGTATTTGCTTATGTTCTTATATATCATTTGATCAAATAAGTTATTAAAACATACATAATATATGAAATATTCTAAACATGTATGATAGAGTTACATAAGTGTTTGTAAACCCTAACTATTTTCATTCGTATGACATTGCCAATATATTATGCTACCAAGCTTAAATTGGCCATCATTGATAAGCTTTCAATTGATTTCGGCTTTTCTTAGTCAAACTTGGACGTGAAATAGTAATGACAACTTCCATGAAGCGGGTTATAATTAATACCAACTCTTATATTTACCATTTTGGGAATATTTTAGTTTCATACAAAATAAAATCATAATTAGGTCAAATCAAATAAACGCATTGTGTGTGCATGTTTATTGCTTAGAATATAAGCTGTTATGAAGGTTCTTTGATAATCAACGTGACCATAAGGACGTCATGATGACGTCAACAACATTGTCATAAAAAGGTTAACGTATCGCCTATAAATACATTTACGTCGTCATCATTAGCAGGTGGTCATTGCTTTGACGTTGGGAATCACTGAGCTTCTGATAGATAACGGAAGTATTTATGATGAGACTAAATTTAGTTCAGACGTGTGAATACACATTATTGACATTTCTCTTGCTCTACATCTCAGAAGACGTATTTAAAAATTCATTAGCAGCATTGACAGGAATTTTACAGAATCCTTGGGTTATCAGAAAATTCTTAAGTACAATGTACTAACTTTTGTAAGAATTCAGACTGCAGATTTATTAAACAAATTGCAAATCATATCTAGATGGTTAAGCAAAAGCAATCCTATCAGTGCTAAAGTAAACTAATTTCAGTTAGAATCATAGTAGACAATAAAAATGCTTAGTGGAAATTTACATGAAAGTATAGACGCTAGTCTGTAACGTTGATTTGGTCATTCGTACTGAATGAAACACTTACTGAAAGCTGTACACGTCTTTAAACTGATTGACTGCTGTCTTTCTTAGAGCCATATAGCGGCATTGTTATACAATGGTAAATACCTAATTATAATTTCAAACTGTAATAACTTCAAAACTTACACACTGTAGCTAAACGTTTTTGTTGAACATATATGTAATTAAAATCGTAGACTATCTAATAACATTTCTTGTTGACATGGACAGGTCAATGAACGTAACTGATTTTCAGCTAAAAGTATCAAAAATTCACTCAAGTGGGAAGTTTCTGAGAAACAAATCGTCGATTATAAAAATTAGCTCGTTTTAACATTTTTTAGTAGTCCTTCATCTTGTTCAGCTAGATACCACTCATGATTTCGTAATAAAAACAGTAAAACAATACATCTCCTTCACAACAAATAGGCAACCTTACCAAGACATTTCCCGATAGCTACGATTAATGGCCGATTAGTATTTTCTGAGAACCTATACTGAAGAATCGCGCCACTAATTCTACGAGATTTGCTTGAAGACGTGTAAGCTTTGATTGTTTCGTATTTTTGTGTTGAATTAATGACAGGGCGATATCGTCTAATATAACCAGCATTCAGGGAATTCGATCGCTCTTTATTAGTTTCTTATTCCTAAGTTATAAGCGATTTAGGAAATGTGATATTTTACCTGCCGAACACAGGTGTTTCTAAACTATCTTAATTAGCAATAATACCTCGACAAACCCTCGACCGCGCCTCAGAACCAGGTGATGATCACAGAAAGGCGGCGATGAGAAAGACAAGGTAATTTCTTTCTTACGGCGGTTTCTCGCCTTTTTCTCTTTGCAAATAAAGATAACAAAATTTGATACCCTTTTGCAACCAGTTACGCAAAATACCACAGACGTGTAATTGATGCGTTTTCTCATTGCATTCCACATGGAAACAGCGATGTATTTTGTTCTGATACGAGTTGACACTAACATTTCACATTAATAATTGCGTGTTGTTATAAGTTCATGGAATAGAAGGCATAACTGTGTTAAGAAAATCAAGCAAAAGGTTTAACTGTGTGAAGACAATCAAAGAAAAAGCTTGATTTTGTGAAGGCAATCAAACAGAACGATTAACTGTGTAAGGAAAAACAAAACAAAATTTGAACTCTGTAAAGGAAATCAAACAAAAGACTGACTGTTGTAAGATAAGTAAGCAAAATGTTCAAATGCGTATAGTCAATCAAACAAATGTTTAACTGTGTAAAGACAAACAAAATGTTTTACTGTGTAAAGACAAAACAAAATGTTTAACTGTGTAAAGACAAAACAAAATGTTTAACTGTGTTAAGACAAACAAAATGGCTTAATGTGTAAAGACAAACAAAATGTTTAACTGTGTAAAGACAAACAAAAACATATTTTACTGTGTAAAGACAAACAAAATGTTTTACTGTGTAAAGACAAAACAAAATGTTTAACTGTGTTAAGACAAACAAAATGTTTTACTGTGTAAAGACAAACAAAATGTTTAATTGTGTACAGACAAACAAAAACATATTTTACTGTGTAAAGACAAACAAAATGTTTTACTGTGTAAAGACAAACACAATGTTCACCTGTGTAAAGACAAATAATGTTCGAATGTGTAAAGACAAACACAATATTGAACTGTGTAAAGACAAACAAAATGCCGTCCTTAAATGTCCATAGCTGTTGATAGGACGTGAAACAATACTAAACAAAACAAAACCAAACAAACAAAATGTTTACATTCTAATAATACTAAACAAATGTCTTACTGTGTATTGACCTCCAAACAAATGTTTAACTGTGTAAAACAATCAAACAAAAAGATGGAGTGTATAAAGACAATAAGAAAGGGATTGACCTATAAGTACCACATTTATACTGACAAAATGGTAGTAAGATGATGCAGTTAAAATATTTACTTTGTTTGGACTTTTGTATGGACTCACAAAATTGTTTAAAATATTTTTCCTTAAAATATTTTTCTAATGACTTAGATTATCCATCAATATTTCTAGGTTGTCAATGTTGTACAAAGTTTTTTAATTCCATAGATATGAAGGGAAAAGGTTAATGGTGTCTTGAAACATTAGGTTTTCAAATAATTACACAGACAGCAAATTGCTTTATATTTCAAATGATTTATGTAGATAGAATGTTTTATGTAACTCTGCATTTTAATTATCAAGATAAAGTCTGAAAAATAGAAACTAAAGGAAACTTTAGTACATAAACTTTCAACAAAAGGCAAACCATTACAGGTCGTGTAATCGTTTAACAATTTGCTCGTCCAGTAAAGCACCAAATTGACAGTGATAGAGTTTAAGTCGCCCTGATGTTTCAGGGTGTGTGTAAATGAAGTTGATTAACATGGTATTCTTCGAATCATGTAGGTAATCGTCGCCAACAAAGGCGGGTGTTTAAATGTGGTGATAATGACTCGGGTAAACTGACCGTATAATCGCTACGTTCTCTACTTTCATTTTCCTGTTTGCGGCCTATTATTGTAGGGTGTATAATGGATGAGGCCACATTTTGATGAGAACTACTATAAATTGACTCATTTAGGCTAATTTGTGATCAATTTGACAAATCAATTGAGATATTCGGTTAAAATTTGTCAGAAAAGCAACCCAACCACAGCATTACGGAGACGCTCCGACTGTAATAAATAGATGACAAAAACGGCAATCGGATAAATCCCACTGAAAACAATGGCCCGCCCGAGTCTGATAAACAATGGCGATTCTAACTCCCGGGGGCTCCTCGGGATCCGCACAGATTTTCCGCAAGATAGCTCATTTACAAATGGTGTAATTTGAAAACACGGAGAAGAAAATCATTGTTTAGTCGTTGAGGAGATGATTGCCTCCCATGGTGCACGGCTTTCATCTTCCGACGGTCTTATCTTTTCCCAAAGATTTTAAATCTAAATGGTCGAAAGCAGGTGAGCGCTGAGTGAAGAATGGCCGACGGTCGTCCTGAACGATGCTGTCAAAGGCCTGGACAAAGTGCCAGCCATCATGCTGGGTAGATGCTATTAAAGGGGAGTGGACTATCAGTGTGTTTTAAGGGTATTTAAGTAAAGTAAATCGGGAAGCAGCGGGATGTTTAACAAAGTTTTCACTCAATATCCCCTAATTTGACGCTTCACAATCTTGGTCTGTCTAGTACGGATGTTTTATCCGGGTAATACATACCCGCTCGCAGCATAACGAGCATAGAAAATCAAATTGTCACTTGGCGAAGGCACTCATTATCGGATCCGCTTTCAGCCAATGACAGGCAACTACTGCTTAGAAATGTAGGCTGAGAACTGCGGTGGGCGTGGTTGGAATATTGGTGATATTTTACAAATGCTTCATTATCAGAGTCAACATTTATAAGATTTCTTTTTTCAAAAGTGTAGATTGCTTGGAGGAAGATAGTTTGAAAATAAGCTGCATGTTTGTGTCAAGTTTCGAAAGACAGCTGATTTTTTCTCTTCAAACACGATCTGTCATCATAAAGAAGCGGCGCCAAAATCCTCGCCAAAGTGTTGTAACTTTGCTGAAGTGGAACTGTTTATTCTTAAAAGGATGACACCGGATTGAACCATCAAGTGTTAGAAGTGACGATAGCCAGAGTTAATTGGTGTCTTTCGAAAACATAGGACAAAAGTACTAGAAATGAACAATTGTGTTAACGTGCACTATTACTGTGTTTTAAATAAATTGACACAACGAAATAGTGGGAACTGTTAACTTTGGAGTTGTCTTCACAATGATGTATATCGTTAAAAGGAGCAGTGTCAACAATAAGTAAAAATTAAATTATACTTGAATCATAAGTTGTATAAAACTAAGCAATCATGGCAGACGAAAGGAAAACGGAAGTAACGTCAAAGAGTTTCTCTATCAGTAGCATACTCGCTAAAGACAAAGACAATGAAAAACACTCGAAGGAGAAAAGTCAATTAGTGGACGAGGATTCTCCTGCTGTGGTGTCAAAACTAGACTTACCCCTGGTGTCTGACCATCCAACCTCACGGGGCTTTCCGCCGGTGTCGGAGGCCGGGAGTGGGGGGACGTTTGGTCTCCATCCCTTACCTTCTTGGTACCACTGGTATTCAGCGGGCCAACAATTCCTTCATCATCTTCATCAGGAGAACCTTTCACGTAAGTGTCCCACGGCTGTCGCTTTAGTCACACAGGCTCAGAAATAAATACAAAAGTTAACCCCTAAGTTTGACTATTGATAATTTAAACACAGAAAATCCCACACATTCTTCTTCAACTAAAATATAGTAAAAAGGAAATCTGTTTATTTTTAAATGTATGACACTGTATTCAATACATTTAATGTGTAAATTCGTTTTAATCAATAGAAAGAATAAACTAAAACGGTTTACGGTAAAAGAAGAAAAAAGGAAAAAGTGCACGTTCTCAATTGCTTGTTTTCTCGTGAAAAGATATGGTTTTAATGTAGCAATATTATTTTTATACTCAAATAAAAGAACAGGAAAGTATATATTACTTAAAGCGTTTAGCAAAATGTGTCTTTTATTGAATCCATTTCTATAATAGTCATTGATATTTAACTTTTGAAGATTTTTATATACTTGTAACATGAATTTAATTTGATGATTATCAATATATAGCATCATCCAAAAGGTGCATCTAAACCTTAAATTACAGTTAAAGAATATTCTAACACAAGTCTATTAATTCAAGATAACCATCAAAAACTACTTTTCTGCTACCATAAATTGCTTTTTGTATAACTTGTAATATTCATGTAAATGCCGTAATTTGTAACGTTTATTTCGTATATTGGGAACAGATTCACCAGACAAATGCAGTTATCGACTCCTTATTTAATCTAAATATGAAATACTATTTATTTTCTTACTCGTATTGATAAAATACCATGCATGCATGGTAAGCAAAATAAACGTACGTATCCTAGGAAACATTTAGTAATTATTTGAAAGCACGATATCATTGTTTTTAATCTTAAATTTGTATTTAATTTAATATAACACAAATCACTATACTAATTGTAAAAATCAATCTGAAATACAAACCACAATATAGTGTAATAACCCCACCATACAAATACTATACACTTTATAACGAATCAACCATAAAAAAACAACCATACTCTTTATAACTCATATGCCATGTGATCTACTATATTCTTTATGAAACATCTTCTAATAATACTTGAAGTTATAGACACAAATCGTTTTACTGATGTCAGAGTTGTCATTGACAGTGATAATTATACAGTCGCAATGGTTAATAATGTATAATGACTTAGTATGAAGAATTAAGATAGAAAAAGAGTACCGACTTTATTGTTACGCTGGATATAAATTTATCAAAGTTCCGTATAAAACAAAGACAACTAAACTAATTGATAATTTCTTTATTCATTACTTATTATTTCATGCAGAATAAAGCTGAACACTAATGTTGAAATAAAATAAATAAGAGGTCATATTCTTTTTCATATCTTCCAAATATATTTTATATCCTGCTTTAGTGTGATAATGAATGTATATTTTCTAAAAATGTGGGGCATATTATATCAAGCAATGACATACAATGTGGTATCTTGTTTGGATTGATGTATAATAACATGAGCAAATTTAACGAGTGCTTCACAATGTAAAAGGGATATTGTTCACACCTGATAATAGAGATGTTGATTGGTATCTTATTTTACGTATCATTACCTATGAAGGAGTCCTTACAATAAAACACGTATCTGCTGTTACCAGAAGGTCTTTACACTAACAACAGTGATGGGGAGTAGGTGGTCACTAAAAGGGTTTTATTTAAAAGGGGCGTGCGGTCAGTGATGTAGAACGCCATTCACCACGTGCGTATTTAATTAAGTGACGTATCTAAAGAAGGTAATAAATGGGTTCAAATCGCATTAAATGACACATCTTAATGCTATCTAATAAATCTGGGGATCAATTCTGTCGTAAAACTGAAAATCGATGACCAGATATGAATAATATCTGATGAATATGTTCAAATGTCACTGGCGAGGGTATTATTTTGTTGTTTTACCATTTCAATATTTAAGTTATCTGTATTTTTTATAAAGCCCGATAAAGTCACACGGGTGATAAAGCCTATAAGTCTAGGATTGCATGCTCTTGCATGTGAGCGATTTAATTATCATGTAGTAGCGATGACAAAGTTCAGCTGAGACTTTTGTTTTATATTAGCTATTTAAAAAATAATTTGTTAGGTTTCGTTGCCGATATTTGCTCGTAAAATTCCAGGTGTTCACCAGAGCATACAGCTTTTAATTCAAGTAGAAAAAGATATAGCTTATGCCCATCAAGTATTTTATACAGAATCCATATGTTGAACATTGTTGTTGTTTTTATCAGAAATTGAAAAGAATTTATCACAGTTGATAGAAATATTTGTGTGTGATTATTTTCGAAAAGTGACACAATATCTCTATAACATTTAAAATAAAGGTGCACTTACAATTTTTCTCTAAGAAACGCATGAATAGTATTACTGTCATTTATTTTTATTTTTACAGAACAGAATCTTAACCGTAGTTACGTGATGAAGTTGTGTTCCATTTTCCACGATAGTAGTTCATTTTCGCCATCTTTTTCTGTCACCAATTTTTTTTGAATACCTCTGTTAGGAAAAGTCCCTCTTAAAATTTAATAAATAATTACCTAGCTTGGTTTCCATTAAATTGAATAACGTTTATTTTATTTTATGTGAATAAGATTTAATTGAGATCCTCTTTAAAATATGCAAAAATAATGTCTAATAAGATTTCTTCGCTTCAAATCAATTAATATTATATGCGATAAATTTATTATATACTTATGTAGGCCTATATTAATTGCATATCTGGATTTTTTTCTTCAAATTGTATATACTTATAACTGTATCATAATTTAAAACAAATGCATCCTTTACTATGAATAAACAATAAGTTAACATTTTTATCAAGTTCTGTACAAGTATCCCGAATAACGGTTAATACAAGCACTAGCCTCATACTCTTTTACATCGCTGACAATGTTTAAACTAGAAACACTTATTCAAAACTTTGCAATTAGATGAAAAATAAATAAATAAATAAATATTTATTTTCTGAAATGCATTTGTTATATTTAATCCTGCATTCCACCTATATCATATAACAGCTCTAAACATTGTTAACCCTGTATCAAATAGTGCCATTTTCATTATAATTAGTCCACAGAGAGGGATATAAACGCCTGATTCCCTTTTTATATACCAATATTTTTTTAGATTTACTTAGGTACTACATAAATCAGTATCAACATATTGGTTATGTGTGGTTTTTCGTCTGTATTCTCTTACATAATATAATCGATGACTTAATGCAATGCTATTATTTAATTAGGTGTGCAACTGAAATTCAAAACGACATAACATTACTATGTAACAATGTTAATGACGGAGACGTATGGAAATACCATTGTGATAACCCCCTGGTTAATGATAGTGAAACACGTGTAACTCGTTGTTTTAGTCTGTAAGTTACTGCGTTAACAGTTACCAATAAGCAAAACAAAACAACATGATCGTTATCATCAATTATTGCAAAACAAAGCTACTGGTCGTTAACATTAGTTTATACCTGAGCTTTTTACTAACGAGGTGTTTACGCCTGAACATGTTTTTCTGAATAAATCAGTAATGTATACATGTTAAACCTATAACTAACACTAAACGCTACCTCTATTGGACAGTTCTATAACCGGAAAACAATAATAGCAAGGATATAAATCAGCTGTTTTCACTAACCTAACGAACTCTACTAAGCTTAGCGTAAACATTTCAAGGTCAAAATAGTATGACATTATTTCTGTAAGATGTTTTTATTGCTTTTTGTGTAATGTCTTAAATTCAGCAAAACATTGACATACCTTATAAACACGTTTATTTATTCACATCCAAATAACTTAATGCTTGACTATTAGNTAAAAAAACGTAAATACCCGACACAAGACAATACAAGCCATGTCAGTTTATATAAGTAATTTGTACGTGATAAAAGAAGAACGACTTACTTACTTTTTATACCGTTGATATCAACAGTTTTATTTCTTTTTGTAATTCATGTAAAACATAGTTACTTTCTTTGACTAGTTTTTAATTTAAAAGGTAAGTCCTTGGAGTAATAAATTGAACAAACCACCTTTTGGAGAAGCTTGAAATTTTTGCTCAAAATCGTAACTGCTATTAAATATTTGCACATACCAATTCTTCACTTATGTTATATAAGAATTTTAAAAAGTATAACTGTTATTTTAGGAACTGTTATTAGGAGATTAAAGTCAAACGTTATACTTTAAAGATTGGATAAGATAATGATTAGAAGATGTGTCTTGATTAGGTAAAAATAATAATCGTAATATCTGATAATATAAGATATTGCTAAAGATACACGGTTTTAAAATAATATTGTGATTTAAAATTGAAGACAAAAAAGGTTTGGCTTAAGTTGCGTGCTTTTATCACATACGATGTACGTCAGCGTCATATTATATATAAGACGATTTTGAAAACTATCATATATAAAAAAGAAATAAATGATTAATGTCTTGACACAAACTTTTTTGTGTGTGTATATCGACTGTTGTTTTTCTTTTCTTCATAAACATATTGTGACAGTGTCGCCTATTATATGGACATTTAATTTCCCCAGGGTTGGCTGACCCGCCATATCCTCTTGTTTTCTCACCGTCGACCGATACGTGATCTGTTTGTCTAGGAACGCCTATCACCGGCCGACTAGGATTTCATTATGTAACTGGAAACGATTTTGGATGAAATACCACCAATAAAACAGTATGGGCATTATTGTTTTTACAATGTCATACATTGTGGACACCACTCAGTTGAAACATTGATGTTATATACAAAATTCAATCAAACATCAGCAGAGAAATGGTTTAAACTTATATAATAACTGTGCATGTTGTCTATCAATAAATATAAAATGAAAGGAAAAAACATGACATTAAATAGAATTCAATAAAGAATCGATTATTTTATGAAAAATGATTAGAATTGATAGGATACGGAGGTACAAGGCATATCCAGGAATTCTAAAGTGTCTATTATAAGAATAAAACCGTACTTTTAGGGTAGTGATGAAACATAATAATTATTATCCTGGTGTCATTATGCTACACATTCTGTAAAAATACCGTCATACCTAATTTCTTATGTACGATAGTTATATTTCATCAAATGGAGTGTGAAACATTTATAAACATCTAAAAGGTCTAAAATTTAAAAAAAAAAGTAAAAATATATTCCATATAAATGCAATCTTCGAATAAATCGAGTTAAACGATGCTAAAGTTTTATTCGGAAAACAATTTGTAAAATATCATTGAATTTCACCTCAAAGCTGAACTTTTATTTGCAAAATTTAATAAAACTAGTTACATTGATAATGCTTATACTTACAAATGTAAAATCTTAACAGATTGTTAAAGATTCCTTTGATCGTAACGCCCAGTCACTGCGGCCCCTTTGATCTACGTGAAAAGACAATTAACACGATAATACCTAACTTACGACGTAATTAAAGAAATATGCAGTAACATAACCATAATAAGATATTTCAAATGTATGGACACCAACCGTCAAAATATATAACATATAAATATCAAGAAATTTTCATGTTTGAGTAAAGGTTGCTTTAGTTCTTAACTTTCCCCGGTTATACATTATTGTTTATTTTCTTATTCACGGAAGTTCATTGACTTTCGCTGTGTTTTGATGTCCTCTTGTCCTCGGTTGTTGTCAGTTTGATGCACTTTGACTTCCGATTTCGTTCCAGTATGTTAACGTTTTTATCATTATCCTATTTTCGAAATTACCAAAGTAAATCATTTTTGGTATGTTCTAGTATATACGACATTTGTTATATATGAGTTACATTTTACTTTTAATCAATTTTGCTTAAAAAGCTCAATTTGCTCAGATATCACAGCATGTTGCATATGTCATTTTTACGAAATTGATAAGTTATAATATATAAAATCGATAATGAAACAGGATCGGTTTATAATTGGGAAGGACGTAAACTTGATACAGTTTGACAGAAAACATAGGGCGTTCTTACATTTGTATCATCACACGCTTGCGCTGCTGACTAAAACTGTCCATGTAACTTGGCGACACACGCCGCGGCTGCAGCGGTAAAGCCATCCATAACAACCAGCAACGTCACTTTTACCACGTTTATTAAATGACGTAAAAAGGGAGCTTGCATTTCTACAGCTTGAATATAAAATGACAGATTACACTAAATCTTCACCAAATTTAAATTATAAATACGTTTTCTATCCGATCTATTGTAATTGTAATGATTACAAGTGTTGGAATTTCCCATATACGTTCAATAAAATTGACAGGTGACTTTGAATGATTGTTTGGCTTTCCTCAAAGATTGTCAATTAACCGGTGCAGATGACAAAAGTGACGCACGACTTTACTGAAGATTGGAGAAAACAAATACGTATTTCACCTCAGCAAAATGATAAATTTCTATTTCGATCGATTATACTTGAGGCGTGTATCTGATGGCTCATTAAAGGCGGTAATTGCTGTCTTCCTTTATCAGGCGGGAACTTTACAGTAATTTAATTGCTTGGATTGTAAAGTCGTGTTATAAAGTAATCCGGTATACAATTAAGTAAAAAACTTCCTTTAAAACTTGTAACATTTCAACTATTTAAACGGCGCACTCCAAACCTAAATGGTTTGGTATGACTAGATAAAATAAAAGAACGGCTTTATTTTAAATCACGGTCGTAGAAGATTAGAGCTGATGGTGTAAATAAATAACCTATATCACATGATTAACACACATATCCTGATACTTCATTTCAAATGTCAACTAGATGAATGACTCCATGTCCATTAGAGACAATTCAATACTCTTTATATATTTCGCTATTAAATGAAAGATAGTTAATTACTGGGATTTTTTTTTTGATATTTGGTCAAATATCGATATTAGTTCTGTTTAATGGTCAAACTGTAATCAAGTTATATTTATTGGAATTCAAAGAATATCTTTTGTATGTTTCATTTTAACTTAACTTTTTCTCCTGGGGTAACAAGTTTATTAAGGGACATATTATTATGAGGATGTTGCTGAAATTCACTTGTTATTTCTGCTTTAGTGCTTTTCTGATAGATTTAGCAAATATGTGTTCTAAGGTAAAACATGATGCAGGCTCTAATATAATTAAATCAAATTATTCAAAGCAGCGAAATTCTTTAGAAAAACACATTTTCGATGTGGGTCATACTTAAATGTTTTCGTAATGGCGTTAAAACCATTTCAGAAAATCAATTCAAATATAAAAGCAAATGTTCAAAATCAATTATAGTTTTATTAAAATCGTCCGTGTGTGTGTGTGGCTGTGTCCTGCTGCCACTAGTAAGTCATTTAGATTCTGCATGGCCATTTAATTATGATAACGATTAGTTGAACACCAGCAAATCACTGGTATTTTTTTTATTATCATCACATAGTAATTTATGGCTGACAAATCACTACTTCCTAACCAAGGCTCCTTAAGGTTAATGAAGAGCTCTCAGGGTTGTACTTGAGGTTACAATCGTTCAGTAAGTTCTACTTCAAGCTATCACAGCCCCTTATTACTCTACTTGACAATATCACGACTATTGTAGTCAGTCCATTGTGTGTGATGAATGCACAAACTTAATCACGGGTCGATAGTTGTCGTTTGAAGTGTATGAGATCTTGTACACATGGGATTTAAGTGGCATGAAATTGACAAGCCCGTAACATCTCATTTTACGCTAGCTTATTTTCCGCTGAATCGGTAATGAAATGTCTCCTGCCAACACGCACCACTCGACGGCAAAAAGCGTGAGCATCCCGGGCTACTGGTGTTGGTCCAGATTGAGTGGTGGTTTGCGTGAACACATCGAAACTCAACCGTTACATACTGTAATTGTTATAATTTACACAGTCCTTCACGTTCAAAATGCATTTATCGGGGTTTTTCTTGAAATTAAAAGAAACATATTATCAAAGTTTATATGCTGTAAGTAAACATGGATTAAAAAAGACAATTATGAGGGTTAAATAGTATCATCATTGATTCTGTATTAAGAGTATTATCATCAACAGCGACGGAAATTTTAACAATTATAAAAAAAAAAAAATCACATTTAAAATTTACTGAAACAAATAAAGACATATATACATAGATCTTGAATAAATCTTTTATTCGGTTGTAATATTTTACTTCTTGAAATGTTTAATACACAATTAATATGCTATAAACATCTGATATAGTACCAGTGTTTATACTTTCGTCTTGCTATGTTATCTAAGTTTGTTTCGCGGTTTACTTTGTAAAAGGTATCAAAATCAACTTTACCAACACAACATAACAGCTTGAGTCTTTGTTGAACGTCAATGTTTGAATTTTGTATAGACATATGCTATGTATACAAAAAAAAGATAATTTGCGCTTGCTTGGATCCGGATTAAAATTTCTAACGATTAACTTTCGTCTCTTCCAAACAGAAGCCTCCAGAATAGCCTCCAAAGTGACCCAGCCCACAGATCTGTCACCGATATTCAGGAACAGTTCGTGTACTTCTGTCAAGTCCTCAATCAACAAAGAAGTCACAGAAGTCCTTCTGTCACCTCCGGAGTCTCCCTGCCCGGATACGGAAACAAACGACTCAAAGTCTGATGACGAGCAGAAGGTTTCAGACAGCCAACAGTCATGTGACATGACAGATGACGACAAGAAGAATAGGAGGAAAAAGAAAACCAGGACAGTGTTCTCTAGGAGTCAAGTATTTCAACTGGAGTCCACGTTTGATATGAAAAGATATCTTTCGAGCTCAGAAAGAGCCGGACTTGCTGCGTCTCTACAGCTGACCGAAACCCAGGTAAAGATCTGGTTCCAAAATAGGCGAAATAAGTGGAAGCGTCAGCTAGCAGCGGAGTTAGAGGTGGCTAATATGTCTCACGTGGCGGCTGGACATAGACTTGTCCGCGTTCCTATCCTATATCATGACACTCCCCCCTCTTCTCATGCCAGCTCTTCGCAGGAGGCATCTTCAGGGTGCCTCAACTCATCCCTGGCACACGCCAGTTACCGAGACTCTATGTTCCTATCGGCAGGGTACACCCAGATGTCCCCAGCCCTCAGGTCCTCTATGACTGGCATGGTATAGGACCGGAGTCGTAGACAAAGAACCAAGAACTGCAAGGAACTGTTCTGTTTGACATTTTATCCGACAGATATAAGTTCAGGAGATTGTGCGATATGATTTATCAAATCCTCACTGTGAGACAAAGTTTGTGGCATATTATAAAATACTCTAGGACCTTGTCAGTCTGGTGTCTGACTTGATTCAAACGAGGTCAGCTGAAATGACAAATCACGATGACAATTAAGAAACATTTTTGCATATGTGAGAGGACATTTTCAAAAATAGGCAGGCAAACCTTGAATTTATGTAGTATATGATGAGAAGAACCGTACACAAATGCCATTATATATATAGTGGTCACCGTTGACAAATGTGCATGTTAGTGCCATTTCCGTAGGCATTGGACTTCTCTTGAGTTGACACAGTTTAATGAAAAGTATATATGATGGACCGAAGTTGTTGATTTGAGTGGTAAACTAGAGGACAAAATGAAGAATGAACAAATTGTCATGTAAACATTTGACACAATATTTAAATTTCCTTTATGTATGATTTGGGAAATATATACGGTTTCGTACGATGTTGTGCTGCCTCATGTAGACTAGGATTTACAAGGCGGCGAGGGAAAGTTCAGAAACTGTATAAGTGTATCTCATTTTTTTTTTTTGATATCGTTATTGTGTTTTTGTAAAAATATTTTATAAAAATTAGCAGTTAGGCAGCTCTTATTTATAACATTTTTTTACCATTCCTTTTTTGATATACAAATATGATTTACAGTTTACATTAATCATAAAGAACTAAAACATAGTTGAATATTTTCATAGGGAGTATTTCTAGTACGATTAAATATTAAGTTAGATCTTCAAACATGGTATTTATGGCATATAATTATTCTACAGAAATGTTTTTGTTATTATTTGAAAATTCTCCAGTAAGATTTGAATGGTTATATGATGGCCTGCTTTGTATTTTGTTGTATAGGATATTTAAGTTCAATCTAATTTTTTCTTTAAAACTAAATTATTGGGTTTGTTCTATTCTGTTTTTGCTATAATATTTTTTTGGGGGTTTGCTCCATTCTTGTTTTTTCTTTATAGCTAACTTATTAGGTTTGTTATTTTCCATAAATCTGATTGTTGAGGTTTTGCTATATGTTATCTTACTTTACAACATGATTTAGAAGAATATGTTCAAAATATCTAAAATTTAGGATTCATCATTATCCTTTTATTGTACTAAAAGAGGCCATATTTTACATGTTGTCACGGAATTACCATGACTGTTGGTATGTTGCAGTTCAACAACAGCCGTTCGTATGAATAGGATTTATTTTGTCTTTTTGTTTTCTGTTTAACATTTTTAATACTTATTATTTCGTTTTTGTATATTTTTTTCATTTTAATTAAATTTTGTTGTACGTTTATTTTCTTTTTTTTTAAACAATCTTTATTCACTTCTAGTCGGTATGTGATTATCTTGCCATGGGTAAAACCCATTGAATAGAATTTAAAATGTACCCAGACTTATTGTTGTGTTTAACATTTGTTCGAAGTGTGTATGACTTTAAAAAATTCTTTTTTGAAGTAAAGATTTTGTTGGTTTGAAGGACCTTACTTCACGTGTTACGAGTCATGATTCTATAAGACTTATAGGAACTTTATGTGGTCGTTATTTACAAACATTCGCAAACAATCATTTATACATAACGTAAAAACATTAATAGCATACGTTGGGACTAAGTTGTAAGTAAATACATTTTACTATATTATACATGCGCGGAAATAATCGGTAATGTTTTCTTGATATCCTTTTTGTTTCCAATCATTTTCACCGCTGAGAAAAAAAAAAATTACTATAATACAAATGGGTATATTGGCATTTTAAGTGGATAGTTACAAGGTATTTGCAGTATTGAACTTTCTGTATAGTTAGAACAAACAACATTCTTGAATCCAGCCTCACGTCATTTAAGTGCTTGCTATCTAACTATGGTAGCGTGATATCGGATGAGGGGTGAGGAGCATCAGACCAACGCTGATCAAATCGAGTTCAAAGTCCTCAGAAAGTATTTTTTCTTGAAGTGTAAATGGACTTGAAGTGAAAATATAAAAACAAATATATACATTTCACAAAAGAAAAAAGATGCATTGTATCAATATCTTCAGCATGATAAAAAAGCATGGTCTATATCTGGCGGCTGCCACACAAGACTTTCTGATTGGCCATTATTAAGATTTTATTTGGCTCCGGCAGAATTTTTAACTTCTCTGCTGTAAAATATAATAAATAATTCTAAAATTCGTTTCTATTGAATTTGAGCCTGCATTTGCAAATTCAGTTTCCTTTGATAGATCAGACTTGTTATATATGTCCACTGTCAGTGTCTCACTAAGCTTTATAACTACGGGGGATGTTATATATGTCCACCTTCAGTGTCTCACTAAGCTTTACACCAACGGGGGATGTTATATCTGTCCACCGTCAGTGTCACACTAAGCTTTACAACAACGGGGGATGTTATATAAGTCCACCGTCAGTGCCTCACTAAGCTTTACAACAACGGGGGATGTTATTTATGTCCACCTTCAGTGTCTCACTAAACTTTATAACTACGGGGGATGTTATATCTGTCCACCGTCAGTGTCTCACTAAGGTTTATAACTACGGGGGATGTCATATCTGTCCACCGTCAGTGTCTCACTAAGCTTTATAACAACGGGGGATGTTATATATGTCAACCTTCAGTGTCTCACTAAGCTTTACAAGAACGGGGGATGTTATATATGTCCACCTTCAGTGTCTCACTAAGCTTTACAACAACGGGGGATGTTATATGTGTCCACCTTCAGTGTCTCACTAAGGTTTACAACAACAGGGGATGTTATATATGTCCACTGTCAGTGTCTCACTAAGCTTTACAACAACGGGGGATGTTGTATATGTCCACCTTCAGTGTCTCACTAAGCTTTATAACAACGGGGGATGTTATATATGTCCACCTTCAGTGTCTCACTAAGCTTTATAACAAAGGGGGATGTTATATCTGTCCACCTTCAGTGTCTCACTAAGCTTTACAACAACGGGGGATGTTATATATGTCCACCTTCAGTGTCTCACTAAGCTTTATAACAAAGGGGGATGTTATATCTGTCCACCTTCAGTGTCTCACTAAGCTTTACAACAACGGGGGATGTTATATATGTCCACCTTCAGTGTCTCACTAAGCTTTATAACAAAGGGGGATGTTATATCTGTCCACCTTCAGTGTCTCACTAAGCTTTACAACAACGGGGGATGTTATATATGTCCACCTTCAGTGTCTCACTAAGCTTTATAACAAAGGGGGATGTTATATCTGTCCACCTTCAGTGTCTCACTAAGCTTTACAACAACGGGGGATGTTATATATGTCCACCTTCAGTGTCTCACTAAGCTTTATAACAACGGGGGATGTTATATATGTCCACCTTCAGTGTCTCACTAAGCTTTATAACAAAGGGGGATGTTATATCTGTCCACCTTCAGTGTCTCACTAAGCTTTACAACAACGGGGGATGTTATATATGTCCACCTTCAGTGTCTCACTAAGCTTTATAACAAAGGGGGATGTTATATCTGTCCACCTTCAGTGTCTCACTAAGCTTTACAACAACGGGGGATGTTATATATGTCCACCTTCAGTGTCTCACTAAGCTTTATAACAACGGGGGATGTTATATCTGTCCACCTTCAGTGTCTCACTAAGCTTTACAACAACGGGGGATGTTATATATGTCCACCTTCAGTGTCTCACTAAGCTTTATAACAAAGGGGGATGTTATATCTGTCCACCTTCAGTGTCTCACTAAGCTTTACAACAACGGGGGATGTTATATATGTCCACCTTCAGTGTCTCACTAAGCTTTATAACAAAGGGGGATGTTATATCTGTCCACCTTCAGTGTCTCACTAAGCTTTACAACAACGGGGGATGTTATATATGTCCACCTTCAGTGTCTCACTAAGCTTTATAACAAAGGGGGATGTTATATCTGTCCACCTTCAGTGTCTCACTAAGCTTTACAACAACGGGGGATGTTATATATGTCCACCTTCAGTGTCTCACTAAGCTTTATAACAAAGGGGGATGTTATATCTGTCCACCTTCAGTGTCTCACTAAGCTTTACAACAACGGGGGATGTTATATATGTCCACCTTCAATGGATGTCTCACTAAGCTTTACAACAACGGGGGATGTTATACATGTTCACCTTCAGTGTCTCACTAAGCTTTATAACTACGGGGAATGTTATATATGTCCACCTTCAGTGTCTCACTAAGCTTTATAACAAAGGGGGATGTTATATCTGTCCACCTTCAGTGTCTCACAAAGCTTTACAACAACGGGGGATGTTATATATGTCCACCTTCAGTGTCTCACTAAGCTTTACAACAACGGGTGATGTTATATCTGTCCACTTTCAGTGGATATATCACTAAGCTTAATAATAACCGGGGATGTTATATATGTCCACCTTCAATGGATGTTTCACTTAGCTTTATAACTATGGGGATGTTATATATGTCCACCGTCAGTGTCTTACTAAGGTTTATAACTACGGGGGATGTTATATATGTCCACCGTCAGTGTCTCACTAAGGTTTATAACTACGGGGGATGTCATATCTGTCCACCTTCAGTGTCTCACTAAGCTTTATAACTACGGGGGATGTTATATATGTCCACCGTCAGTGTCTCACTAAGCTATACAACTACGGGGGATGTTATATATGTCCACCGTCAGTGTCTCACTAAGCTTTATAACTACGGGGATGTTATATCTGTCCATCTTCAATGGATGTTTCACTAAGCTTTTCAACTACGGGGAATGTTATATCTGTCCACCTTCAGTGTCTCACTAAGCTTTACAACTACGGGGGATGTTATATATGTCTACCGTCAGTGTCTCACTAAGCTTAATAACTACGGGGGATGTTATATCTGTCCACCTTCAGTGGATGTTTCACTAAGCTTAATAATAACCGGGAATGTTATATCTGTCCACCTTCAGTGTCTCACTACGCTTTATAACTATGGGGGATGTTATATATGTCCACCGTCAGTGTCTAACTAAGCTTTATAACTATGGGGGATGTTATATCTGTCCACCTTCAGTAGTTATTTCACTAAGCTTTACAACTACGGGGGATGTTATATCTGTCCACCGTCAGTGTCTCACTAAGCTTTATAACTACGGGGGATGTTATATATGTCCACCGTCAGTGTCTCACTAAGCTTTACAACTACGGGGGATGTCATATATGTCCACCTTCAATGGATGTTTCACTAAGCTTTATAACTATGGGGATGTTATATATGTCCACCGTCAGTGTCTTACTAAGGTTTATAACTACGGGGGATGTTATATATGTCCACTGTCAGTGTCTCACTAAGGTTTATAACTACGGGGGATGTCATATCTGTCCACCTTCAGTGTCTCACTAAGCTTTACAACTACGGGGGATGTTATATATGTCCACCGTCAGTGTCTCACCAAACTTTATAACTACGGGGGATGTTATATCTGTCCACCTTCAGTGGATGTTTCTCTAAGATTAATAATAGCTTTATAACTATGGGGATGTTATATATGTCCACTGTCAGTGTCTCACTAAGCTTTATAACTACGGGGGATGTTATATCTGTCCATCTTCAATGGATGTTTCACTAAGCTTTTCAACTACGGGGAATGTTATATCTGTCCACCTTCAGTGTCTCACTAAGCTTTACAACTACGGGGGATGTTATATATGTCTACCGTCAGTGTCTCACTAAGCTTAATAACTACGGGGGATGTTATATCTGTCCACCTTCAGTGGATGTTTCACTAAGCTTAATAATAACCGGGAATGTTATATCTGTCCACCTTCAGTGTCTCACTACGCTTTATAACTATGGGGGATGTTATATATGTCCACCGTCAGTGTCTAACTAAGCTTTATTACTATGGGGGATGTTATATCTGTCCACCTTCAGTAGTTATTTCACTAAGCTTTACAACTACGGGGGATGTTATATCTGTCCACCGTCAGTGTCTCACTAAGCTTTATAACTACGGGGGATGTTATATCTGTCCACCTTCAGTAGTTATTTCACTAAGCTTAATAACTACGGGGGATGTTATATCTGTCCACCTTCAGTGGATGTTTCACTAAGCTTAATAATAACCGGGAATGTTATATATGTCCAACGTCAGTGTCTCACTAAGCTTTATAACTACGGGGGATGTTATATATGTCCACCGTCAGTGTCTCACTAAGCTTTACAACTACGGGGGATGTCATATATGTCCACTTTCAGTGGATGTTTCACTAAGCTTTATAACTACAGGGGATGCTATATATGTCCTCCGTCAGTGTCTGACGTCGTACGTTATCTTTGCTGAAGTCGTACGTTATCATTGTTGACATTGTATGTTATCTTTGTTGACGTCATACGTTATCTTTGCTGACGTCGTACGTTATCTTTGCTGTCGTTGTATGTTATTTTTGTTGACGTTGTTTGTTATCTTTGCTGACGTCATACGTTATCTTTGTTGACGTCGTACGTTATGTTTG